AGGCAGGGCCATCTGGCCGGTTGGCAGCAGCCCATCGCTCCCAGCCTGGCCTCCAAGTCACCCAGAGCTCAGCCCCTGTAGGGCCCCTCCCAGGAAGCTGGCTGAGTCAGGACTTCGCTCCACCTTCTCCAAACGCCCATCGCATACCTAGTGGACGATGAGAGAGGGCACTGATTTGGGAGTCAGACGTCTTGAAATTCTTATTTATTTTATTTTATTTTATTATTTTTCATCTTGAAATTCTGACCTCGATGTGCCCCCGTGACTGTCCCTTGAAATCTTGGGGCACGGCCTCTGCCGGGAAGGCATCCCCAGGCCTGGTTCCGTCTTCTTCACAGAGCACTGGGACATCCGTTGGGAAGGTGCTCTAAAAAGAGGATGTGACCCAGTAATGTGGGTTCAGAGGATTCTCAGGACATTGAGAGTGAAAAGAGAGAAACTAAAGGAGAATATTCTAGAATGGGGTGGGGGGTGGGGTAGTAATGCTTGAAAGCCAGCATTACATTTATAAGAAAAAAAATAAGTCTCTGTGGCTCTTAGTGAGAAGGAAAGATTCCAGAAGCGTACTGGAGCCCTGTCTCTCCCACTAGCTGTGGGGAACGCCCCTCACCCCATCGCTGTCAGTCCCTCTGCCTCTGCTCTGTGTGATGTGTGTCATCAGCTTTGAAAGGACCGCACAGGAGGCTCCGAAGGAAAATCCCAAAGTTATTTTTATGTGAAGGGTAAAAAGGGACAATTTCCCAGTGGGTTGGAGATGGTGGCCTGTTGACAGAGGTCAGAGTAAAAACGGGATACATCTCCTTCGGCTGTACATCTGCTCACCCGGTCTGTTCTCTGATTTGATTTTTCAGTCCCAAGGAATATTTTCTCTAGGCAAGAAGCAACCCTTTGGCGTGCCGTTACTAGAACCAGACATCACAGAGAAGGAGCCCGGAGCTGTGGCAGGAGATTCTGTACGAAACGCCACTTGCTGTGCCTGCCCCCAGGCCTCAGTTTCTCCTGCAGAGGAGGAAAGTGGATAAGAAGATTGTCATCTCCCCATCACCATTCTTTAACAAACAGCGATTTAGCAGACCAGTTCTGGAGGAAAATCTTTTTGGGGGAGAAAAAATGTTTTGTTCATTTTCTTTTTTAGGTATATTGCACAAATACATTGACTATTTATAGGTGCATCAATGTGGTCACATGCATGTATGCTCATCCTCGTCTTTATTTCTCCTTTTTGTTGGTTCCTCTCCTCCCCCAGAAAGAACGTTTAGGACCTTTGTGGCCCTGGTGGTCTGTGTTTCTGAGGCCAGGAGAATCCCAGGAAAAAAGTGAAAGGAAAGCAAAGAGCACCAATGGCCAGTTATGCCTGGTGGTAAGACAGGGAGCCAGGCTCCACAAGGGTGGTCCTCGCTCCGTCCACGAGCATAAGGGCATTGCCATTCCTCTACCTCTCTAGCCTTCCTTCCCAGACTCTGACAGACCTGGAAGCCAGGCCATACCTAAGTTTCATCTCCAAATTCCCAATCATTTATGAAACCTCGGGATCAGAGAAACCACCAGAATCATTTGGTTCAACCTCTGTATCAAGGCAGATGGTTGTCCATTCTCCCTATAAAACTCTCCATGGAAAGCTGCCCCACCCATTCTCCTGCAAGGAGTGAAGGCTGGTGCACTCCCTGGTTTTTCAGACTAATTGGCTCATTTTCTTCCATCTTAGAAACCTCTGGAAGCCAGGATGCCCATATCCTGGCTCAATTCTTAGCCATAAGTTCAACGAGGGGCTACTTCTTCCATGCAAGAGAAAGCAAAAGCAAACAGAGGAAGATCAGTCTAAATGAACAAGCGGTTCACAAGAGAAACAGAAGTGGCTAAGAAACACATGAAAATAGTTTCAATCCCAGTAAAAATAAAATAAGTAAAAAATCATAAAATAAATGATAAAGAAGTAAAATGCAAAATAAGACAATAGTCCTATGCCATTGGCGAAGATGAAAAGGGAGGAGGTAATGTTCTGTGGGGGGAGGCTGTAGGGAGGTGGGCTTCCACCTAGACCAGCAGATCCTCCGTGTGGGCACCCAGAACCACCTCTCTGGGGAGCAAGGGGAGCAGCACAACTCTTACCAGGTGCTTGCCTCTGAACTCAGCAATTCTACATCCAGGGGAGCCTGGACTCCAATGGAATGATCTCAATGGAATGATAAAGACTAGACACAAGTATTTAAACTCAGCTATACTCACAGAAATTAGAAAGAACAAAACTGTCCAACAAAAGGAGACTGCTTCAATTAAATGTGGTACATCCATGCAATACAAGTCTTTCAGAATTAAGGTCATAAAAATGTCCACGTTATCATAAAAAAGATGTTCACGATATATCACTAGGTGGGAAAAACAGCGTAGCATCCGCAACAGTCCATAGTAGGACGACATTTCATTTCTGTTGAAAGGCACACTGTTATGGAGCGTGATAGATCATAGATGAGCAGACTTCTGGATGATTTATAAATAATTTAGCTACGTTTTCTGATTTCCTATATAAACAGATATTACTTACACATTGCAAAAAAGGAAACGCCAACCCAAAGAAAGGGTTGCTTTGTCCCAAGCAGAGGGTGGTCTGGAGAACCCGCCCAGCCTTGTATCTTCCCCACAAAACCCTCCCCTGCCAGTGGAGAGAGAAGGGACAAGCAATGAGGGAGAAGAGGTGAATGTTTAGGGATAAATCCTGGAGCCAGACACCTTTCTCTTTTCCCTCTGTAAAAAATGTGCCACCAGCACTCCCCAGGAAGCCTTTCTCTCCAGGACCCTCTTGTGTCCTGTCATTCCCCACCTGTTAGCCCACCTCCCCCTGACTCCCTCTCCTCACCCACTTCTCGTACAGCAACCTGGCTGACTGCGTCTGAACTTAGCAACACTATTTCCCAGGGGTGTGGCCATGAGCAGTCAGAAAATGCCTTTTTATGCCTTGGTTCCTTGTAATTGTGAGGATTAAAAGGAAGAAGAGAAGAAGGATGAGGAAGAGGAGGGGAAGAAGGAGAAGGAGGAGGAGGAGGAGGAGGAGGAGGAGGGGGAAAGAAAGGAAGAAAAAGAAAAGAAAAAGAAGGAAAGAAAGGGAAGTAAAACACTTTCACATGTAATGTGATATCTTGGATTTTATCCTGAAACAGAAATTTAAAAATGGTGGAAAAACTGGGGAAAACCAAATAAAGCCTGTAGTTTAGTTGATAATAAGATACTAGATGTTGATTTCTTGGTTGTGCCAAATGTATCGGTTATGGACGATGCTAGCGTCATGAGAAATCACATAAGGGGCAAGGAAAGTCTATATGCTCTTTGCGACTTTTCTGTAAATCTAAAATCACTCCAACCAAAAAAAAAATTATTGGGAAAGGAAAGCATAGTGCATAGAATAATGCCTGACGCAAAGTACACACGCAATGTATTATTTGACTATTCCATTCTATTTTCGCTGTGAACATCCAGGGGTTGCTTATCTCGGAGGGGGCATCCAACCACTTTGAATGTCTCCCAGAACCTTCTCTGGTGCTGGGCACCTGGAGGCCCTCAGTGGCCACTCACCTTTTGGCCTTTATTCATACCTACCCCCTTTGCCTCTGTTTTTTACTACCAAGATCTTGAATTGACGCTACTTTATTTTCAGATTTATGGTATCTAAGCTACATATTGTAAGTCGGTTTAAAATCCTTTGGAGGAGGTCAGGACATCAATAAGTAATAAAAACATTCATAAATGAATTAGTCCATTTTTCACCTGCACTGCACACATAAGCTGAACCTCTATAACTACAGGACCTTGGGGCGAGCGGGGATTTAGGACCAGAAGAGCTGTGTCCGTGAGTCCCAGCTCCGCTCCCATGGACCGAGTGACACTGGGCCAGCCCCACATGGACAAAACCCCCCTTCCCGGGGAGGGGGGCGCCCCCAGGATTTGTTAAGATGATGCTCGTGAAAGCACTCGGCAAAACTCCGACTCCCTGGCCGCTCTGTCCCTCTGCAGCCAGGATTCAAGGAGACGGGGTTCACCAGCCGGAAAGTCCAGGCCTGCGACCAGAACCCGCCCGCTGGGACGCCTTCTCCTGGCCAAGTGCTTCTCGCGGCCACAGGTGGCCCTGCAGCACCGTGTGTGACAGGCTGGTCCGGTTGCCTGCAGGGCTTCGGCGTTCCCCCGGGAAGTGGGCCTGAGACGGGCCACCAGGGCCTCACCACCTCCCCCAGGCCCTCCCGCGCAGGCCCAGCCAGCCCCGCTGCCCTGCCACGTGGCTGCACAGACCCTTAGCCAAAGGTCTCGTGTCACCTCCGATTCCCCAGCAGGTGGATGCAACAATCCATATAAGCTCGGGTGACCTCTGGGCTGACGGAGCGAGGGGGCAAAGCACAGGCCAGAAGCCCTTAGGGCAATTATCATCCTGAACCCAGACACTTAGGCTGTTGTCAGAGGAGAGAGACAGGCCCAGGCACAGCCCTCACCCATGCCTGGCCCAGCACACGCGTAGTCCCCCTTGTGGGGGGCCAGAGGGGGAGAAAGAGGGGCGCTCAGGAGGGAAGGAACTAAAGGTGAGGACCTTTGTGGGTTTTTTTTTTTAATATTTTATTTATTTATTCATGAGAAACACAGAGAGAAGGCAGAGGCATAGGCAGAGGGAGAAGCAGGCTCCTCACAGGAGCCTTGAACCCAGAACTCCGGGATCATGCCCTGGGCCAAAGGCAGATGCTCAACCGCTGAGCCACCCAGGTGTCCCCTTTGTGTTTTTTTTTTTTTAATTTAAATTCAGTTAATTGGGACACCTGGGTGGCTCAGTGGTTGAGCATCTGCCCTCGGCTCAGGTCATGATCCTGGGGTCCCAGGATCGAGTCCTGCATTGGGATCCTTGTGGGGAGCCTGCTTCTCCCTCTGCCTGTGTCTCTGCCCCTCTCTCTGTGTCTCTCATGAATAAATAAATAAAATCATAAATAAATAAATAAATAAATAAATAAATAAATAAATAAATTCAATCCATTAACATATAGTGTATTATTCAGAGGTACAGTGATTAATCCGTTGCATAGAACACCGAGTCCTTAAAGGTGAGGTCCTAATCCACCGGGGCTGCTGAGCTCTCTGCTTCCTAAACCCAGGTGAACAAGAACAGGTGAGGGAGGTGGGGGGCGAACTCGCCGGGCTCATTCGTCCCTCCCCCGGGCGGATCGGGCCTGCTCAACTCTTCACTCATCCCTCGTTTCTCTCCAGGTCGGTCACGGGCATTTCCAGTTCAGGTTCAGGGGTTGAAACGGGAGAGACGTGCCCTTCAAGAAGCAGCGAGTAAGGCGGGGTAAGGGCAAGACCAGAGCACAAACCTTACGGGGATATTTCCAGGGGTGTGGGGCAAACAGAATGACAAGCATTTATTGGGCACCTACTATGTGCCAAGAACTGCATTATCTCATTTAATTCACACGAAGGTTCTGTGAGGTCCTGTTTAATCCTGGGGAAAATGGGATGCACAGAGGTGATGTGACTTACCCATTGCCAGAGTGGTGCTCTCGGGGTCTTTTTTTATTATTTTTTTTTATTTTTGTTTTGTTTTTTTTTGCTCTTGGGGTCTTGAAGATAGTCCCACTCTGGAGCTTCCCTGTCCTCTTGGTGATGATGTTACAGAAGCAGCTCAAGGGAATCCAAAGTGGTCCTGTTGGGGCTGCCTGTGGAAGGAAGTCCAGAAATCAGCTGCCCCAGACAGCTGTGAGGGCATTTCCACGGGGAGCACGGGATGGAGGGAGGGCAGAGAGGTAGGGAACGGGAGCCACCTCTGATTCCTTTGAGGCTGGAGAACGTAGGCCCATGGACCATCAGTCCCTGGCACTCAGGATGGAGCCAGGCTGGAGAGGGTACAGTTGAGGCAGGCCCTGGAGTCAGGAAAGGATAGGGCAGGTCCGGAAGGTGGCCTCCTGGTGCTGGTGGCCACCCAGCACCCAGCCAGCAGTCAAGGCAGCAGCTCCGAGCACCCACCCCGGGAGGGACCTCTCCCTGAAGTCGTTTCTGCCCAGCCAGGAAGCATCTGACGTCCTCTCTGCAGGGCCGAGAGCTGGTCTCAGGCTGGGGCTTCCCCAGAGCTGCTGGGTCGGGGAAAGCGAGCCACAGCAAGAAGTTGTAGGAGACAAGCCGCCACATTTATTAGGCTCCTACTGTGTGCCAGGCCCTGCACCAGACATTCTACATAACTGACCACTCTCCATGGACTCCTCCCAGCTGCTCCGGGAGGCCTGGAGAGCTCTCCCTATCTCACAGAGGCAACGAGAGCCCCCGGGGGTTCAGTGGCTGGCCTGGGGCTGCACGGCTTCTACACAGCACACCAGGACTCAGCCCCCAGTGACCCGGATTCTGATCCGATCGTCAGCAGCAGGCCTACAAGCCTGAGCGCTGTCTGTTAACATCTGCTCTCACCACCCTGGTGTGAGGGAGGCCGGATGGGCACATCTCCTCGCCTCGCAGGGAAGGAACCCCAAGCTCAGGACCGCCAACACCCACCATCCAGGACACTGGGACAGCTCAGGCCTCTACCCCCAGTGTCCTTCCAGGACAGTAGGCAGCACTGCCTGTGAACTCCGCCCCCACACACGTCTTTAAGGTCCCATGGCGCACGGTGGCCAGCTTACCTACCAAGTGCTGCCTGCGTCCGAGGGCTCTCCTGCCAGGTCCTACCGGGATTCCGTGGGCCTGTGGAGTTCTTCCACCAGCCAGGAGGCCCCTTGCTCAGTGACTGAGGCGTCCCGGGGCAGCACAAGCTGTGAAGGAGCCCCCGTAGCTTGGGGTGCAGGGCCCCTATACGGTGCATCCTTCCGAGGGCTCCCACCGCCCTGGAGTCCTCTCCGACTGGGGGCTCAGTGGGGCAGCACCTGTCTGCTGGCAAGTGGAAGCAACCCAGAGAAACCATGACATATAAACCACAGAAGGGACCCCCAAAAAACCCCATAGGTCCCCTGGAGGGGCACTCCATCTCTCCTCCAGGAGTTTGGCTTCCGTTCTCTGACGTTTTTCCCTCTAGAAGACAGAGAGAGCAGGTCTATGTTTTTGTCTGTTTCAATCCTATTGGACAAATGGAGAAACTGAGGCCCAGATAATTAAGTAATGGCCAGTTAGGACGGAGCTGGAGAGAACGCAGAAGCCTTGCAACCAACCCCAGAGCCGGCGCCTCCTGCTGAGCGCCATGGCCCAGCACTCTGCCCTCGCCCCGGGCCCTGTCTAGAAGTCTCTGTTGGCACAGAGCAGCCGAGGACTTGGCTATGTGTCCACTCCAGTGAATGCTTGGTTTGTACCCCAGAGCCTCGAGCTTCTGGAAAGGGTAGGGTTGGGGGAATTCCAGGACTCTGACCTGGAAGGAATTCCGGGAGACCCTGCCGCCTCTTGGACTCCCACCAGCCGCTGGAGAAGGTCTGCGTGAGCCAGGCCTGCCCGGATCTCACGGTGAGGATCCCCGAAGACACCCCTGCGCCCCTTCTTCTCCCTCTGGCCTCACGCCTGTGAAGGCTGTGCGGGCAGGGCAGCTGGATTCCAGAACATGGAAGTCATAACCCATTTCACCCGGGCGAATGGCATTTTCACAGGGTCACAGGATTCGAGAACTTGAAAGGATCTTATTGATGGTTACAACCAACTCCCTCTTTTAATAGATGAGGAAGATGAAGGCGGGAAGGGCGGGCGGCTCACCCCGGGGGGGCCTGGAGGGTCAGCACAGGGTCTGGGCGACAACCCGGGCCGGCTCTCCTGGGCCCTGCTGCCCTGCTGGGGCTGCCTCCCCACTTTCCCCTGCAGATCCGGATCCCTGCGCCCTCACTGGAAGGAACCACCACGGGGCAGCCTGTGGTCAGAGCCGGGTGAGAGTCGGGGGGAAAGACCCGAAAGCCACGGGGTGTGGGCCAAGCTCATGTCAGAGGACGGGCCAAGCCAGGACCACACAGCTTACTGTCCCGCAGGACCAGGAGTTCTGGAATGTTCTGACTTATTTTAAAAGAACATCTCGGAACTCCAATTTTTATTTTTATTTTCGAGCTACAATTTTTTAATGTAAAATATTTCAGCTCTTAAATATAGACAACAATTCGAGTTTAAAAATAAAACACCCGACAGAGACGAACTTGTGACCGGCTGTGGAATCCAACTCCATCCCCTTTTTATAGATGAGGAACCTGAGACCCGGGGTGGTGGCCCGTCAGCGACCACACGGAGACCACCGTCCGGGGCCGCTGAGTCACTAGTGGGGGATGCCATCCGGGTCGCCGGTGCCGCCGCACAAAACATGAGATGCTGTTGCCTGACACTGCACCGCACGTACCTGGACCCAGGCCCGCACCTTGGGCTCTACGTGACTTGCCTTGAAAGACCTAACCCTTGGCCTTGGGTGAAGTTCTCCCCGTGGTCCGCATTCCCCAGGTGTCTGCGGGTGTTTTTGCCTTGACGTGTCCCTTTAAGACTCCAAAGTGGGCCAGAATATTCTGAGACCCTGCCGGAGGCTGGGAAAGGCTAGAGCCTGCCTTCCCTCTGCCAAGCCCTTCCCACATACCATTCCCCTTGCCTCTGGACAGTCTGCCCTTCGCAGTCCAGCTCAAAACAGCACAGCTGACACTCCAGAAAAATCTCATAAAGCCGAATTAGAAGCAGGTCAGCAGAAGGGGAAAATGAGATCATGGCCACCCTGTCACCTTCCCCGGCCGGCCGAGGCCGCCAGCAGGCCGCCTGCCTCCGCGCCCTCCCTGACCCCTCCTGCCTGTCCGGTCCTGCGCCCGAGACAGGGGCCCCGGGCCCTTTAAGTGAGGCGGTGACACACAGGCTCGTAAAACCACAGGAGAAAGTCAAGTGCTGAGATGAGCACTTGAAGATAATAAAGGGTTTGGTGAGCTGCAAGACAGCGGTGGCCAAAGTAAACTCTGGCTTCTCCAGGGAATGGGTCTGGAGCTTTCTCAAAGGAAAGAGAGGATCCGTGTGGGGAGACTGCAGGGGAGAGGGCCTTCGGGGGGCAGGGGGCAGCAAGGCGGCCAGAGGGGTGGCTCAGGGGCCCAGTGGCCCCAGCTCGTGGGTGAGGCCCCTGACGGAGCTGAGGTCTGCAGCCTCGTCCGTCCGCAGATGGGGGCCTGGGGCCACAGGTGGGAAATCTGTGCTCTCTTCTCCCAGCACCCAGCTCATGCCTAATGTGGGCACTTCTTCAATGAATGGGTGAGCGAGTGATAGAAGACAAACACCACCCCAGTGAGGAAACTAGGAGAACTCATACTCAAATAAGATAATTTCATGTTGTACGTTTTTTCAAGCATTTCCCCATCACCATTTGAGTTGTCCCCTTAAGAACCCTGGAGGCAGATCATACGGGTTTCACTAATCCTGTCTGCCATCTAAGGAAACCGAGGCATGAAGCGTGGTAGGAGGGACCATGAATCCCATGGCTCTGCCTTTCCTGGTTCCTCCTCTTGGGCCCCTGCATGCCTGCAGCGAGGGTACCCCCGTCCCATTGCTGAGAGTGGGGCCGGCGGGCAGCCCCTGGGGTCTGCACCTGGATAGGAAAATCTGGCCGATCCGGGAGGCACACGCCGGACCTAAGGCTCATCTGCTTGTGGCGCACTTCAGAAAAAGCTGACAGTTTGATTTCCATCCTGAGTGACCCTGCAGTGGTCCCTCCACGCATCCTGAACTCAGGTGGGGGAAGAGGAGTGTTGTCTCTGCAAACCCCCAACTGGGGATGTTAAGCAACTGGTTCAGATAATCACCTGAGATCCCCTGGCACTCAGTTTCCCAGCCTTTCCAGCCCCACCGGCCCCACCAGAAAGGAACAAGAGGCTCCGGAGAGGCAGCCTGGTGGGCCCAGGCACTTGAGATAGCTCCCTGGTCCTATAGGTTTGGGAATCAACCTTGGTTGAAAGTCCCATCGGGTTCTAAAAAAAAAAAGAAAGAAAGAAAGAAAGAAAGAAAGAAAGAAAGAAAGAAAGAAAGAAAGAAAGAAAGAAAGAAAGAAAGAAAGAAAGTCCCATTGGGTTCTATTCTGCGCCACTAACAGAACCATCCATATGCTGCCGTGCTTGCTCCGTGGCTGTCCAAGGGGAGATGGGGATGCAGACTTAATGCCTCGCAGGTTTTTTTTTTTTCCTCATAGGCCTATGTGAGAGTCTAGTGTTCCTTTGCTCTGGGTTTGGGAAATGTGGCTGCACACACCCACCTGTTTTCTGGGAGGTGGACAGGGGCTGGGGCCCAGAGGGGCGGGCGGCGGGGGGTGGGGGGAGAGACCAAAGCCTCAGTTTCTGCATCTTGCAAATGGGGATAGTCTGCTGGTCTCCAAGATTTTTAAAAAGAGTAACAGAGGGCCCAGATCCTGCCAGTCAAGCCAAGTCCTGACACAGGAGTGCACACCGGTATCCAAAAAGGTGTATGTGACGTGAGATTCAAACAAAACAATTAGCGGAAAAGGAAGCTTTCATCTGACCCAAGCATTCTCTGAGTTGTGAGACGACCTGCCAGGTTCCTTTAACTTGCAAACCTCAGCTGGTCCCTCTCCTCCAGACTGATTGAAGCCACGGGACAATTGGAAATACTTCGACCAGAAACGTGTGTATTTATAACACAAAGCTCAGGTGTGACATTCTGTGAATTCGGTCCCATGCTCACCATCTCTGGGGCCTCAGGAAGAGAGGCCGGATGAGCCCCCACAGGTAAGCCAGGCCCGTGCCTCCTACCTCTCCAACAGCACTTCTCCGGCAGCCACCCCATGGGAGTACCCACGGGTCAGCTCTGCCGCCCCCCACCCCCCCAACACATTCCCAGGCCAAGTTCATGCCAACCTCCTGCTGCCCGGGACTGGCTCCTCCTATGGCAAAGCCAGCTGTTTCCCCTCAAGCACCTGCTCTCTCAGTGACCTCTGAGGGGCCGTCGTGTGTGCAAGGTCTTGGCCGAACCCGGCCTTAACGGGAGCAGCATTTCCCTAACCTCCACTTAGGATGGCACGTGCTGGAGCAGCTTGGATCATACCATAGAGGTTGCTGATTGACTATAGTAGAGCAATAAAACGGATGGATCCTGGGTCTCCCAAACCATGAAACCGCCGTGTTAGCCCCTTACTATTACTGTTACGTGACGGGGGAGTGAATTTCCCTTGTGCTTCTGCCTTTGTTATTTTGGCCTTTACTTAGGACAGCTGAACCCCCTCCCTCTGCATGGCAATTTCCAGCCATTCTTCAAAACTGACCCGAAGGCCACCACCCCAGGAAGTACCCCCTGATTTTGCCAATGGTCTCCGGCCTTATATTACGCATCGCCCATCCCAGAAGGTATTATCAAAACCAAATTTCGATGGACCCAGTTCTATTTTATTTAGTGTCGTTCACTCTAGGACAAAGCGAGGGAACGTCGGGAAGGCATGGAAAGACAATTGCATGGCCTTCCCTTGTCATGGTTGGTGTGGTGTCCCTTCCGTGGGCATGGTGTCTACCAGACAGTGTCGTATGCCTCTGCAGGGCAGGGCCAGGTCACAGACCTCTGTCGCCACCATTCACAGCATAGAGCACATAACTGAGACTTGGGGGCTTGACTTAACACCTCACCGAAAAGAACTGATGGGGAAGGAGGGCCGGCCAAGGCTGGTGGGGTGTGGCAGGGGACAGCCCCTGCGCCGTGCCTTTAAATACAACCTGATGTCAGAGAACTCATGTAACCCAAGAAAAGGCGTGCTATAATCGGATTCTTCCGATGTGGAAAAATAAGGCAGGCTGATTGCCGCTGCCATGGAGAGGCGACAAATGTTTGACCTCGGGTGTGAGGAAGACGGACTGATTTTGTGCTGTCACAGGGAGAAATGCACACCTGTTCCAGCTGGAACACAGCCCCAGCCAGCCACCCTCAGATAGACCAGCTGGAGTCCTGGAAAAAAATGGATCATGCTAGCTAGCTGTTACACAATGAAGCTATTGAGCAGCTGCTGGAGATGGAAAAAACTGCCTCATGAGGTAATGAGCTCCCCAACACCACAGGCAATCAAG